CTGAGTGTGAATAATCCCAGCTCAAACACAAATCTGAGTGTGAATAATCCCAGCTCAAACACAAAACTGAGCGTGAATAATCCCAGCTCAAACACAAAACTGAGTGTGAATAATCCCAGCTCAAACACAAAACTGAGTGTGAATAATCCCAGCTCAAACAAAACTGAGTGTGAATAATCCCAGCTCAAACACAAATCTGAGTGTGAATAATCCCAGCTCAAACACAAAGCTGAGTTTAGATACAAACCAAGAGGAGTGCAGATAATCCCAGCCCCAAAAACAAAGCAGGAGTGTGGATAATCCTAGCCCAAAACCAAAGCTCAGTTTGGCTAGTCCCAGCTCAAAAGCAAAGCTGAGTTTGGACAATCCCAGCCCAAAAACAAAGCAAGAGTGTGGATAATCCTAGCCCAAACACAAAGCTGAGTTTGGGTAGTCCCAGCTCAAACATCAAGCAGGAGGAGTGTGGGTAATCCTAGCCCAAAAACAAGGCTGAGTTTGGATAATCCTAGCCCAAACACAAAGCTGAGTTTGGCTAGTCCCAGCTCAGCCACGAATACCCCTGAGCTCAGGTGGGGACGAGCCCCACGCGTGAGACAATAAATAAAAAATAACAAATACTGCGTTGGGCCCGGCTCAGAGGGATCCCTCGCTAAACCCAGCTTAGAGGGATCCCGCACTAAGCCTGGCTCAGAGGGATCCCGCACTAAACCCAGCTCAGAGGGATCCCTCACTAAGCCCGGCTCAGAGGGATCCCGCACTAAACCCAGCTCTGTGGGATCCCTCACTAAACCCAGCTCAGAGGGATCCCTCACTAAACCCAGCTCAGAGGGATCCCTCGCTAAACCCAGCTCAGAGGGATCCCTCGCTAAACCCAGCTCAGAGGGATCCCTCGCTAAACCCAGCTCAGAGGGATCCTTCCGTAAGCCCAGCTCAGAGGGATCCCTCGCTAAACCCGGCTCAGAGGGATCCCTCACTAAGCCTGGCTCTGCGGGGCCCCTCGCTAAGCCCGGCTCCGTTCAGGGCCCCTCGCTAAGCCCGGCTCAGAGGGATCCCTCAGAGGGATCCCTCGCTAAGCCCAGCTCAGAGGGATCCCTCGCTAAACCCAGCTCAGAGGGATCCCTCAGAGGGATCCCTCACTAAGCCCGGCTCTGCGGGGCCCCTCGCTAAGCCCGGCTCCGTTCAGGGCCCCTCGCTAACCCGGCTCAGAGGGATCCCTCGCTAAGCCCGGCTCCGTTCAGGGCCCCTCGCTAAGCCCGGCTCTGCGGGATCCCTCAGAGGGATCCCTCGCTAAGCCCAGCTCAGAGGGATCCCTCGCTAAACCCGGCTCCGTTCAGGGCCCCGTGCCGTTTCTTGGCGGCGATGATGGTGTTCTTCATCAGCATGGCCACCGTCATGGGCCCCACGCCGCCGGGCACCGGCGTGATGTAACTCGCCTTCTTCCTCACCCCTGAGGGAAAAGCTCGGCTTAAGGGCCGGGCGAGGCCACCCGGCCCGGAGCCACGCGGGCTCTGTCGGGACTGAGGCCTTGGGAACGGGCCCGGGCGGTTCTTCCTGCAAAGCTGGGCCCAAAAGCACCAAGGGTCCAAAAGGCCAAAAAACCAGGCCCAAAAGCACCAAGCCAGGCCTAAAAGCACAGAGCTCTGAGAACACCAAAAGCCAGGCCATAACGTACCAAAAATCTGGGCCTGAAAGCACAAAAAGCCAGACGTGGGAGCCCCAAAAAGCCGGGCCCAAAAGCACCAAGCCAGGCCTAAAAGCACAAAGCTCTGAGAACACCAAAACCAGGCCATAACGTACCAAAAATCTGGGCCTGAAAGCACAAAAAGCCAGACGTGGGAGCCCCAAAAAGCCGGGCCCAAAGGCACCAAGCCAGGCCTAAAAGTACAAAGATCTGCGACCGCCAAAAAGCCAGGCCCAAAAGCAGCAAAAAGCTGGGCCAGAAAGCACCAGGGCCTAAAAGCCAGCACTAAAAGCCAGGCCTAAAAGCTGTTTTTTAGCACAGAAATGCCAGGGCTGGAGCGGACGCAGACAGACACGGATGCACCCCGAGCTCGGTGACACAAACCAGGCTTTGTCCCCTCCTCAGCGCCCACCAAAGCTGATCCTGAGCCTAAAGAGCTGATCCTAAACCAGGCCTAAGCCTCTGCTCACCTTCGAAATCCACGTCCCCCACGAGCCTGGGCTGGGCCGTGAGCGGGTCCTGCACGCGCGTGAGCCCCACGTCGATCACCGCCGCGCCCTCCTTCACCATGTCGGCCGTGATCAGGTTGGGGATGCCTGGAGAGCGCCCAGGGATGCCAGGATGGGACTTTGGGGTGTCTGGAGAGCGCCCAGGGATGCCAGGATGGGATTTTGGGGTGTCTGGAGAGCGCCCAGGGATGCCAGGATGGGACCTTGGGGTGTCTGGAGAGCGCCCAGGGATGCCAGGATGGGATTTTGGGGTGTCTGGAGAGCACCCAGGGCTCCCAGAGAGGGATTTTGGGGTGTCTGGAGAGCACCCAGGGATGCCAGGGAGGGATTTTGGGGTGTCTGTGCAGAGCCAGGAGCTGCACCCTGACCCTGCTGGCTTCTCTCCCACCCCACCCCACGACTGCCCAGGTTCCCCCTGCCAGGTGCTGCTCCCCGTGCCAAAGGCAGAATCCCCAAAACTGTGGGGCTTGTGCCTCAACCACAGGAGCCCCCAGCCCCAGGAGCCCCCAGGACATTCCAGGCTGGGATTCCCAGCAGGACCCCCAGCCCCGGGAGCCCCCAGCCCCAGGAGCCCCCCAGAACATTCCATGGCCGGGATTCCCAGCAGGAGCCCCCCAGGACATTCCAGGGCCGGGATTCCCAGCAGGAGCCCCCCAGGACATTCCAGGGCCGGGATTCCCAGCAGGAGCCCCCGAGGACATTCCAGGCTGGAATTCCCAGCAGGACCCCCAGCCCCAGGAGCCCCCCAGGACATTCCAGGCTGGGATTCCCAGCAGGACCCCCAGCCCCAGGAGCCCCCCAGGACATTCCAGGCCGGGATTCCCAGCAGGACCCCCAGCCCCAGGAGCCCCCCAGGACATTCCAGGCTGGGATTCCCAGCAGGAGCCCCCCAGGACA